CCACAAGGTGCAAACCATTTATAAGCCTGAAGAATAGAAAAGCCAGATTAGACTTTGCCAAAAAAACATAAAAAAAGCCAGACCAGTTCTGGAAAAGCATTCTTTGGACGGATGAAAGTAAGATTAACCTGTACCAGAATTACGGGAAGAAAAAAAAAAAAAGTGTGGTGAAGGCTTGGAACAGCTCATGATCCAAAGCACACAACGTCATCTGTAAAACATGGTGGAAGCAGTGTGATGGCATGGGCATGCATGGCTTCCAGTGACACTGAGTCATTGGTGTTTATTGATGATGTGACAGAAGACAAAAGCAGCCGGATGAATTCTGCAGTGTTTAGAAATATACTGTCAGCCCAGATTCAGCCAAATGTAGCAAAGTTAATTGGACGGCGCTTCACAGTACAGATGGACAATGATCCAAAACACACTGCAAAAGCAACCCAAGAGCTTTTGAAGGAGAAGTAGTGGAATATTCCGCAATGGCCGAGTCAATCACCTGATCTCAACCCAATTGAGCATGCATTTCACTTGCTGAAGGCAAAAACCAAAAGACAGAAAAACCCAAAAGACAGAAAAGACACAAACAAAGAACTGAAGACAGCTGCAGGTAGAGCCTGGCAATGCAACAGAAAGGAGGAAACCCAGGCTTTGGCAATATCCATGGGTTCCAGACTTCAGGCAATCATTGCCAGTAAAGGATTCTCAACAAAATATTAAAAATGAACATTTTATTTATGATGATATTTATTTATCCAATTACTTTTGGTCCCTTGAAAAAGGGGGGTGGCTACTCTTAAGAGCTGCATTTCCTAAACCCTTCCTTCAATTTGGATGTACTTACCCTCAAATGAAACCTGAGGGTGTGCACTTTCAGCCCATATCCATTATATAACTATAGCTTGAATATGTTTTGGAAAATACCTGAACAAAAAAACTAAAATTTTGCCTGTGTCCAAATATATATGGACCCAGCTGTAGGTCAACCACATATGCTCGTAAGCCAACGGTCTACAGCTACAGTACCCACATCTTGGCCGTGCCCCTCGGATGCATTTCTCCCCGATTGGGCTTAGTCGTAGTGGTGGGAGTAGTCCTGAAGAAAAGGGTATATACTGTACACATCATGACAGTATGTGACTGTATACAGCTGAGCAGGTCACAGCACTCTGCATTGTATCAGAGCAAAGAAACAGGAAAACAGTGCAGTCTACTGAAACCTCATAAAATAGAATCAATATTGTAAAAGACGTACAACAGATTCATCCTTCTGAAAAAAATCCAAAATACATATGTAATATGCTGCATAAATTAATGGCACTATATACGTGCCTGAAATAAATACATAAAACTAATTTGAGTACTCCCCACTTGCCTAACAATCAAGTGGAGATATAGAACAGTGCAAAATAAAGAAAAGAGGCAAAATGCATATGTTATGTAGGTGTTGCAGAGACATATGGGGCCCTATACCGTGTGTTATCAAAAATGGCCTCCAAAAATATATACATATAACTCCCCCCTCCAAAAACCTAAAGGGGGACTTAAAAAAAAAAAATTAAAAACAAATTTCTTTACTATTAGATATTGAAGATAAAATCATTGAGAATGTGGCCATTAACCACTTGGTAAAAGCGCTATAGACGAATGACATCTACAGCGCTGTTACCCAGTCCTGGGAGGGCGTCAGATGATGTCCTCCCAGAATGCGCCCTCAGGGGCACGCACTCAGCGATCTCCGTGTCCTACGGACACAGCTGATCACGTGATGAGGTAAAAGGCCAATCAGAGCGGGCTTTTACCACGTGATCAGCTGTGTCTGATGACACAGCAGATCATGGAGTAAATACAGTTGCCGGTTATCAGCAGCACTTTCCTCATGCTGTCACAGCGTGAGGAAAGTACTGCCGATAATCAGCAATAGTCACAGAGGAGATCGGCCCTGATGATCAGTGCCGCCCAGCAGTGCCACCCACCAGTGCCGAGCAGCGCCTCCCACTGGTGCCACCCATCAGTTCCTAGAAGTGCTGTCAGTCAGTGGCCATCATTACTGCATATCAGTGCAGCATCACCAGTGCCTCCTCAATGCCCACCAGTGCTGCCTCATAAGTGCAGCCTATCCATGCCACCTCATTAGTGCTGCCTATCAGTGCAGCCTCATCAACGCACATCAGTGAAGGAGAAAAAATTACCTGTTTGCAAATTTTTTTTGCTCTTTTTTTGTTTATAGTGCAAAAAATAAAACACCTAGGGGTGATTAACTACCACCAAAAGAAATTTGTGTGAAAAAAATTATAAAGATTTCATATGGGTACAGTGTTGCATAACCGTGTAAAGTGCAACAGCGTTGAAAGCTGAAAATGGTCCAGGGCATGAAGGGGGGTATAAGTGCCTAGTAGGCAAGTGGTTAAAGTCACAACAACCTATATGCACAAAACAGTATAAGAAATAATGCCCATGGAGCCTCAAATAAACATTACACAAGCTCAATGTTCCATATTAAAATTTGCAAATTTAAGTTTTATGCTAAACAAAATATGTAATCCCAAACACAAAAAGAAGGGAATGGGAGAGACACACAAAAAAGGCAAAAAGTAGGGAGAAAGGAGATGCCTGTGCAAAAACAAAGTAAGATAAAGAGATGAAATAGCAGAATATGATTCTTTATTCCTAATAATGTGTAATGTCCCACTCAAAGTTAAGGGCCGGTTCACACCATGCCCGCATCTGAATTGCACAGGAATGTGCTGTGTGCACCTGTGCAGTGCGACTTCAGCCCATTCATCTTGAATGAGCTGAAATCACACCACACCAAAAAGTTATGCATGCACTAATTTTTAAAACACACTGCAACCGTTAGCATTGTACAAAAAGTACCATGTGATCCAGTGCAGGCAGGTGTGGGCAAACACACTTTGTGACATGCGTTTGGGGCGGTGTTCATTTTTTCTAATGACACCCCCTGCAGATCGCAAATATAGTGCATTTTGCATGCAGTTTCAATCACACAGGATTATACAACGCATTCCTGTGCGATTCAAATGCAGACCTGGTTTGAACAAGCCCTTAAACCTTTAGGGATCCTTGTATCCAATGTAAAACATCCAAAAGACCTTTTAACTACAAAAGGAAAGAAAAGCAATCTCTCCCTATGCTAGGGATATCCACTCTTTCTAGGCTTTGTACCCTCAAAAGACTATGCTCGAACCGTGGTGGTAAACAAAATATTTCACCCCATTTGTATTCTGAATGTTGATTGACGGATGATCCCCAATATGATTACACAGCTGCCTGGTGGTCCTACCAACATACTGTACATTACAGGTGACAAGAAATGAAAAACAACAAATCAGGTCTGACACCTACATACATATAACACCATATTGCTAAGCCAGGTGTGATCCTGTTTTGTTTTTTTACCTGAAAAGACTAGGAAATAATAAAATGACATAGGGTGGAAAGCTCTTCTAGCTACAAATCAATTATTTTGATCTAAATACTGCTCTATAATCATAGTCACTATAGAAGACCGGTAAATATCTATTGACAACCCCCTTAATGTTGGTAAACTCTAGACTGTAGTGAGTGCTGAATATGACTGGTCCACTGTCACTGCATATCCATTTCCTCTACTTGAGCAACACAGATGATTTTTTTTTTTTGTTTAACCAGTGTGTTGAACGAAAAAAAAAAAAAAGAAAGGATTACTCAACTCCCTATTTACATATTTGAGGCAGATGGAGGAGTACTCCCGCTGTGACTTTGTACTGTATTCTGTCAGTGGGGAGACATCCTTGCCGTCAGAATACACTGATCAGCACTGCCAGCAATAGCCAGCAGAGCTGAATGAGCTTGTTCAGCACTACATTCCTTTTGGTTGTGGTTTGTTATTGTATGTTATTATCCAACAGGCTTAAGCACAAAGGTATTTTTTGGATATCACACACTGCAGCTAGTGGAGACACATTGTGATGCATTATAACGTGCTCCAATGAAATGCAACATATCCCGCATTGTTTCAGTGCACACAAAACACACAGCATTGGTATGAAATGGAACCAACAAAAACAAAGCTGTTTGTCTTGCCCTTGCATTGGAACTGCATCAAGCCTGCAGTTTTGTGTGATTTTAACTTACCGAACACACAAACTGTTAGTATACAAAACAACTATAACATGTCTTTTGTATAATGTATTGTATAAACGTACCATGTTTTATTAACCCCTTTATATACAGGTGAATTCTTACTAGGTTTTTGGGCACACATTCACCACTAGCATGAATGGTTTACAAAATTGAGAAACATGGATTATGACTTACTGCAACATTTGCATAAGTGCAATGAATGTAGAATTCTACTTCTGTGTTACCATTTGTGTGTGCTATGTAATACTTGCAGATACAGTCACTGGTGGAGAGACACATCAAAGTGATCTTTTCTAAATTTGCAATAGGAAATTCAACTAAGAGCTTATTTTTGTTTCAAAGGTGCCACAACTTGTTAAGGCTTGGTTAACACTGCTGGGACTTGGATCTGACTTGTGAGAGCCCAAGTCACATAACATGTGAAATCCCATCTTAGTCAATGAGAGCTGTATTAATTAGCACTACTGAAGTCGCTCCGACTTTAGAAATAGGTTCCTGTACTACTTTAAGGCGACTTCTGACTTGTGCCCATAGACTTTAATGGAAGTTGCCTCCAAGTCGGATCCTCATCTATAGTGATGTGATTTGGATCCAACATTACAGGAAGATTACCCAGGCATTCCCTGAAAGTTGCTTCAAAGTAGTACTCAATTTGCCTGGCAACGTTGCACTGTAAGTCGCGCGACTTTCATGTTGTAGTAGTGTGAATTGAGACTAAAGGGCAGGAAGTGAAGGGCCTAGTGCAGCTGAAAAAGTGAGCAAGATGCACCAAATGAAATGCTTCTTAAAACTTACATCTTATCAAAATAAATATTTAAAAGAAAAATTTTTTTAGGAATCTTAAATCAGTACTTTACCAAACACTGCATTTCCTTCAACTTGCTCACTAGCTGTTTCATTTGTTTCTGGGACTTTTCATATTCAGCATTTAACTAAAGAAAAACACAAAAAAAGTTAAGATTTAAATTGAAGTGCACATCACCAAGTATAAAGTTACCCTTTCTTGATTATTTTTTTTATGCAAACAGAAAAGTTCCATTATATACCACTACACACAGTATGCTTTAAAAGGAGTGGGTTATCTTTTAATTCGTTTATAAGAGAAAATGTCTACAGCTCTATAGCATCACAGTGCCCCGGCATGGCTACCACTGTCTTATACATGCATATATGTGCCATTTATGGTTAAGTATTTCAGGCAAAGATACCTATTCTTTTTTTTTTACTGAAGTCTGCAGAGCATTGCACTCATGATCAGCAGATCATGGGTGCAATGTCAGGCTCCTGCGCATTCTTCCTCTAGCTCTGTGTCAATATTCCCATAGGGGCTTTCAATTACAAAACTAGAGGAAGAATGATTGAACTACGAGCTGAGCAGCACGTTCGCAGACCATTCAAACTACAAGTCCGTCTGTTGTGGTGGACGATGGTACTTGTACTTTTTTCATTCATTGATTTCTGTGAATGAATCACACGGCTTTGTGGACAGAGCCCTGCACAGCTGAACTAATTTTCAAAAAGTGACACAGCAGGTGCAGGGAAAAGATCCCCTGGCCACTTTCAGAGAGGGGAGCGCTGGAGGCAGGTGCACAAGAGAATATTACTTGTAAACTAAATATGGATGTAACATGTCCCTAAAAATAAACATTTATCTGTACAGAGCTGTATAGCAGGCAGCATAAGATTCCTGCTTCTACCTGCAGGGATCTGTTTCAGATTATGTGTCAGTTTCCCTCATGAAAAGCTTACTACTTCCAGGTATGGAACAGCTGTGAACACTCCAACAACGCAGTACCCACTGCCAAAGCCAGCCAATTGCCAAGCTGCTCAGGCAATTGGCACAGATAAATCCATAGGATACCAATAGGGTTCCAGGAATAGTTTACAGCCATGTTCAGCAGTCTGCAGGTACAGGCACCATCTGTACAGCGTCACGATTACTTTATGCTCAAACCTGGTTGCTTTAATATTTGCTACATACATTGTTAAATGATGCTTCCTTAGCAGTTCCTTCTTCTGCAATTAATTCCTCATATAGGTCCAAGCAGTCTCTTGGAGAACTGGATGGCTTAGTGGTTTCATCTATAAGAAAAATTTATATTAATTAAAAAAAATAAAAATAAAATCCTTTTCAATACATTCCTGGCATCCATGCCATAACACATAAATGTAGTTCTGTTAACATCTAAAAACTGTAGGTGATCAAGAACAGCTTTCTTATTGATGGTAACTGAGTTTTCCTTAAACTGGGTAATCCATAAAAAACTGCAGAAGTGTAAAGCAATTCTAAAAGATTCATTTTTTAATTTTTGTAAAACAGGTCAATACTTACCTACTGGTTTTGCACAGAGCAGCCTGAAAACCTGAGTCACTGATGCCTGAAGGCGGACTGTCCAAGATGCCCCCACACTCCTAGAAGAGGCTTGAATGATAAATTGGCGGATCCAATGTAAAATAGTCACCTTGGATGCCGCCGGCCCCTCTGGCAGCATGAACAGAGCATTTGACCTCTTGACCTGTGCCGTCACATTCAAGAAGACCCTTACAGCGTGTGCCACATCCAAGTTATGCAGAGATCTTTCTCTTGCTGACTGCGGCCTAGGAAAGAATGAAGGCAGAGCAATGTCCTGATTGAGATGAAAACTAGAGACCACCTTTGGTGAAAAAAAAAAAAAAAGTCGGTTGAGGTTGCAACACCATCTTATGATGCAAAACCAGAAATGGTTGTCTGTAAGAAAGAGCTGCCAGCAATGACAACCCTTCTTGTAGAAGTGATTGCCACTAGAAACAAAACCTTAAGAGTCAAGAGGACCAGTGGAATCTCTCTAATAAGTTCAAATGGTGGTTTTTTGCAAAACCACCAAAACCAAGTTCAGGTCCAAAGGACACAAAAAAGGTAACCTGATAGGAGGAGCAATACGCATTACTCCCTGTAAAAATGTGCGAACCAAAGCGTGAGACACAATGTGCCTCTGGAAAAAAAAGAAAAAACAAAAAAAAAAAACAGCTAATGCTGAAACCTGGCCCTTAAATGGTACCAACAGCCAAATTTCTTCTCCAACCCAGTTTGAAGAAAAACAAAATCTTACCAATTTCTACCAAATTACTTTCGTGGGTGCCATTTCAGGATCTCACACCTGGATTTGTAAGCCTTCCAAGTTTGTAATAAATGTTCCTAGAGATCATCTTTCTAGCCCCCAACATGATGGGGGTGACAGAATCTGATACTCCCCTATCCTTTAGGACCTGGGTTTCAATAGCCATACCATCAAATTTAGCAACCATAAAGCTGGGTATAATATAGGACCTTGAGACAGCAAGTCTGGTCGACACAGCCCGTCTACTGCGATCTTCACTATGTTTGCGTACCAGGCCCTACTGGGCCAGACTGGGGCAAGCAGTATCACTGTAATGGACTCCTCCCAAATCCTGCATAAGAGACGTGACAGCAGCTGAATCGGAGGAAAAGCATAAAAATCAGTGCAAAATGATTCCAAGGAATCACTAAAGGCATCTACCTTCTGCCGCACGAGGGTCCGTTACCCTGGACACAAAAAGACCGACCTTGCTGTTGAACCTGGATGCCAAAAGATCACGTCTCGGCAACCCCATCATTGGCAGATTCCCTTGAAAACCTTGGGATGGAAAGCCCATTCCCCTGGAATCGACCGCCGGGGACAGATAATCCACCTGCCAATATTCCACCCCTGAATGAACACCACATAAACTTGGAACAGATCTCTCTGCCCAGGTCAGACCCGAAATTCTAGTCTGTACCCCAGAGAAATTGTGGAAATGATCCACTTTTCTTGGATTAGAGCCCTCCAGGCAGCAACAAAATTCAAAAGCCTTTAAAAGCTTACAACACCTGGTTTACACAGGCAGTCTCCCCTCCAAGTAGTAACCAGGGCTTGACCCTGATTAGATTCCGAGTTCAGGCGCATACAGAGTAATGTGGCCGTAGTCCACTGCAGCTCTGCCACCAGGAATAGCTGCAATGCCAGACAAACATAGTGGCCCAGATACCCGACACCACTGGTTTATCATGAAATGTGAACACTGCCAGATTACCCTACCTCGAGTCCACTGGACCAGAGGGCGGTGTTCCTGCCTCTCTGCTGGCTACCTTTTTTGGGGAAAAAAAAAAAAGGCAGTAACTTTGTCACCTAATTATGCAGTCCCGAAGGGATATATGTCCATAGCCACCTTGGTCTACAGTTATGCGATCACACAGGCAGCCAAGCAAGCAGGTATGCAGGTACATAGGCATGTAAATATGCAAATTATACCAGTACCCAGGTCACGCAAGTATGCAATTTAAGCAGTTCATGCAAGTGTAGATATGCAGTCTATGTTCCATGCTAGGCATACACATATGTATCAAACACAGCCTGAATACAGCCTCCATGCTGCTTCAGTGCAGCTAAAATGCAAACTCCTGCAGGTCAAATGCAAGTTACTTTGGAAACTCAATGCCTTAAGAACACGGATACCTTTGCAGGGGTGTATCAAAAACAGTTGTACAAGCCCCCTGGTATTATGCAGGCTAATGCAGTCTATAATCATGTCCTGTCTGGTCATGCAACTCCCCCAATGGAAATACTCATGCACCATCATCCAGCCATAGACTGCTCTGTTTCTCTGCTGCCTCTGAGGAGCCACACAAACAGCCAGCCACATGGGTACACAAGCTAAAAATGGCTTCCTGCCTCCACTTCACTAGAGACACACACAGCATGGCCTGGCCAGACCAACAGCACACTGCCCCCAGTGGACACCAGGAGAATGACCAAACAGACAGATTTTTCAAAGAAATACTGCAAATGTAAACTTACCATTCCTGCCGCAGGACACTTAGTCATAACAGGAGTCCAACCTTCACCCATCACAGCAGGCTGTCATGCAGACCTTCAAGGACTCGGTCCCCATAATGTGGGGCCACTGCCTCGGACCTGTACAGCACCCCGCCAGAAAGCACCTTGGTCAGTATTATACTGCACAGGGTTCCATTATACAGGGTCCAGCGGCATAAGGCTGCATTACAGGCAAAACCCCAAGCATACTTCTCCTTACCCAGTGAGGCTCGGGTAGAATCCATATTGGTGAACAGCTTTCCAAATGGATTGGATTAAAGTCTCGGATTCTTGAATGGAACCGTTCTGGACCTTTAGGTATGCTCCTAGAGCACATGCAACACTTTCAGTGACTATCCACCTTACAGACACTGGCGAAAAAACTGACGTACTTCCTGTGTAGGAGGGGTTATATAGTGGAGATCTTCCTCTTGAATTGGTTGGCCAGTGTCCATTCACCTATAGGTGGTATATAACCCACATAGTCAGGAATAGCCTGCTCTGTGTCCCGTGAGGTGCAATAAAAATATATTAATGGATATGTGTGAGCTCCTTTAATTGTAAGCATATGATTGATTCTCCACCACATTGTTTGTTTTCAGATAACATGCATGCAGTATTTAATATTACAATGAGCAATTAGGATTATAAAGAAAAACTTAAAGGCAACTATGGCCCAAATCAAAATGACATATGATGAGGTTTATCAGTAGCATTAAAACAGCAGTCTTAGTTTATCTGAGCCCCCCCCCCCCCCCCAGAGCTTTATAACCTGGTGATCCAGTAAGTTTTTTATTACAGGCAGGTTCTTTAGTACAAAAAAGGCATGCAGTCCCTTCTGCAATGAAATACACTTACCTGCCTGTTCGCAATCCAAATCCGCTGTAGAATGTAAAGTGAGCTGCACATGCAAAGCTCAGTGTACATTCTAGCATACTGACTGTGTGCCAGGATAGCCGCACTCCATCGCATGCACGGAAGTGAATTCATAGTACGCCGACAAATCAAGACAGAAGTGCCAGTTGTGGTTTGAGAAAAACCATTTAAGACTGACAGGAGTGATTACAATGGTCAACTGCTATTTATGAAAAACCTTTATCCCGAGGAAAAAAAAAAAAAAAAAAAAAAAAAAAAAAAAAAAAAAACCCAAAAAAAAAAAACACTACAGCTGTAATCTCTTAAAGCAGTAGTAAACTCTTCCACTCCGATGCAGTTTTTCATCTAGTTCATTATATTAAGTGATGATCAAAGATTATCCATTGTAATTCAGCCCCAATTGCATATTACTGACTTTTCTTGATAACTTTTAAAAATCCTGCCTCCAGGGATAAGCCGACGCCATCTTAGGTATCGTTTTCCAAGTTTGCGCTTTCGTGTAGCCCTTGCTAGCCGACCTATTTACGCCCCATGTGATAACAAAAAAAAAAAAAAAAAAGGAGACATGACCTGTGAGCCACCCTGGATATTCAATATTAAATTGAGTTCATAAGTTCGCAGGCTCCCAATTACATCCTCATTCTATGTGATATACTCAAAAGAAATTTTTAAAAGAAAGGTGCCGTGCTCTTATATTGGAATAAGAATATACAAATATGATCAACAATTGAATGAAGATATATATGAATATGATCAACACTCAATTAACAAACGTAATATTTCTATGAAGATTTTTTGAAAGAAGGCGAGAAAGAGAAAAAAAAAAACTCTCAATTAATAAATAATTGATCTCCCTCTAAGATCAATTTAATCTGTAAAAAATATATTGATCTATAAAAAAATCTGTAAAAAATATCTCAAAAAATAAATAAAAAATGTGAATTATATGCATTTTAAAAGTAAACAAATTAATTTATAAATACATAAAAAGTGCATATAAATCAATTTATAAATACATAAAAAAAGATGAATTTATACCATTTCAAAAATTAATAAAAATATAGATCAATTCATGTATTTATACATTTTCCACTATTGTATCGCAATAATCAATAATGTTCACCAAGTCCCCTCAGAGTGAAATATGATGAAGTCACTGCAGTTATTGGACTTTTTACTTGACTTGATACCCTTGTCTGCAATCAATTGCTGGGTCAATTCCTCTGTAGAAAGGCAAGCTGTATAATTATCCTCCTTGCTCCTATGGATTAGGCTGTGAATAGATTCTATATTGGGCTAGTATCTTCAGCCGAGGATCTCTGCTTTTTCTCCCTATTGCTCCTCGTGTGACCGGGAGGAAAACAGAGAAGAATAGTGCCTTATCCTTGATAACAAGGTAGTTTTATTCATGCCAAATTCGCACTTACAATTGTTAACATTCAATAGCGCTTTTTGTGTAGTGTCCAGCCTGCACGGCATGGAGACACACGCTGCCTATACTCGCTGTTAATGAGAGTCTGGTACGCGATGACGTCAGTGCCCCTCCCCGTCATCGCGTACCAGACTCATTAACAGCGAGTGTCTCTATGCCATGCAGGCTGGACACTACACAAAAAGCGCTATTGAATGTTAACAATTGTAAGTGCGAATTTGGCATGAATAAAACTACCTTGTTATCAAGGATAAGGCACTATTCTTCTTCTCTGTTTTCCTCCCGGTCACACGAGGAGCAATAGGGAGAAAAAGCAGAGATCCTCGGCTGAAGATACTAGCCCAATATAGGATCTATTCACAGCCTAATCCATAGGAGCAAGGAGGATAATTATACAGCTTGCCTTTCTACAGAGGAATTGACCCAGCAATTGATTGCAGACAAGGGTATCAAGTCAAGTAAAAAGTCCAATAACTGCAGTGACTTCATCATATTTCACTCTGAGGGGACTTGGTGAACTTTATTGATTATTGCGATACAATAGTGGAAAATGTATAAATACATGAATTGATCTATATTTATTAATTTATTTTTGAAATGGTATAAATTCATCATTTTTTTTATGAATTTATAAATTGATTTATATGCACTTTTTATGTATTTATAAATTAATTTATGTTTACTTTTAAAATAGCATATAATTCACATTTTTATTTATTTTTTTAGATATTTTTTATAGATCAATATATTTTTTTACAGATTAAATTGATCGGAGAGGGAGATCAATTATTTATTGAGTTTTTTTTTTTCCCTCTCTCTCGCCTTCTTTCAAAAAATCTTCATAGAAATATTACGTTTGTTAATTGAGTGTTGATCATATTCATATATATCTTCATTCAATTATTGATTATATTTGTATATTCTTATTCCAATATAAGAGCATGGCACCTTTCTTTTTAAAAAACACTCCCCATGTGATGTCACACTGTCACACGGATGAATGAAATTGTAGTCTCACGGTTTTTAAGCAGTGCTGCAGGGAGCGGAAATCAGATACAGCATACTTGTCAATGGACAGACCGCACACAAAGCTTGGCATGAATCATAGATGCGCATGCACTGGTGATGTCATTACACAGAAAGGGACGGATTACAAGAAAACAGAGCAAGTAAGGAGACATCAAAATGCAGCAAACATTAACTTTTTTCATGTGTCAGTTTCCCTGTTGAAAAGCTTGCTACTTCCAGGTATGGAACCGCTGTGAACACTCCAACAATGCAGTACCTATTGCCAAAAGCAGCCAATTGCCAAGCTGCTTTTTTAGGCTAGGATCACATCTGTGCGAGTGGTGCCGCACTGGAAAACACAACCGTACTGGGTACCGATGTTCCCATGCGGGCTGTGTTTTCCAAAGAAGTGCAGGGACTTCGTCCCTGCGTGTCACGGACACAGGAGTCCATTCAAATGAATGGGCTCTCGTGTCCGTGCAAAACGTGGGCCGCATATATGTGAAACGGGGCTTAATGCAGATTTAAATATTTAAATATGAAAATTGTGGGGGGAGAGTTTACTACCACTTTAAAAAGTGTTAGCTACATTTAGGCTTTACATTGCTAGTCAATAATGTAAAGTCCACCTAAATTTACTAGCCCATTAAACACTACCATCTTTACTGACTGACAATGCTGCTACTACCCCCCAAGAATGGCTACCTTGCTCCTCTATAGATGCAGTGCTGGAATGACTGTAGCCATAAGACAGGAAGTGTGTTACTGACCAATCACCAGGTGAAAATATAGAAATAGAAGTCTGAAAAAAACTAATGCAGCCACATTTAAATGATTCGTAAGCTACAATACATTACATTTTTGTTTTTGAATTTAGTCATGCTTTAAAATGTACCGTAAAACTGTATTAAACCCATTTAAGGAAGGCATTATGCTGTACAGAAATCTGCTTTATCCCTAAGGATCTACAGTTATTCTGCAGGGAACCATGGAAAGGCTGATTATTTCCTTGTTTGTCCAACAAAAATTAATACATTACCTGGAACAGTTACAGACATGTCCAGTCCATCATAAATGTCAACTGAACTGGCCTCACTTTTAGCAGGAGATGCTGTAAAAAAAAGAAAACATATGTCAAACGTAGATGAGAAACCTATGATTAATTTTTATTTGCATTTCTTATACAAAAACATAAGCAGGAACAATAACCCAATCCAAAAAAAAGCTTTGCAAAAGTTAGTGAAATTCTGCATTGATGCCAAAATCCAAATAGGACATTTTACAGAGCTAGTAATGAAAAAGAGCAAAGTATTAAAAACTGTTAGTGAGAATTCAGCTTATAATCTATATTCACCTTTAAGAAAAATAAAATTAAAAAAAAGTACATATTTTGCAGGGAAAAAAAAAAGTGTGAATGTATTTTTTCCACAGAAGACTGCAAAGCATTGCACCCATGATCAGTGGATCACAAGTGCAATGTTAGGCTCCTGCAAGCTATTCCTCCAGCCCTCTGCCCGTACATGCTTTCAGTTCCGAAGCTGGAGGAAATGTCAGTGGACTATGAGTGGCCTGATTACCGCATCCATTTCCCTTAATGCTGTGCTGGCAGACAGGAATTGTAGTTTATTCATTCCCAGATCTCTGTGAATTAAGCAGTTGTGCTGATTTTAAGTGACAGCAGCTGCAGGTGAGCATGGGATTTGCAACATGTTACACGCTAAATAGATGTGTACCCATATATTGCTAAAATGGAATGAAATCGGTAATGTGAGCAATTTATGTTACTACAATAAGAATCCTGCTACACTACATTATCCATGTTTGGCTCATGCATATGCATGACATAAAAAACAAAAAAAATTAAAGCTGTAGCCTCCTTTCTCCATCTAAGCGCCCATACAAAAAAACCCCAAAAACTATGATTTCCCTACATGTTATTTATCACCGTGAACTCCAGAATGAAAGTAACACAAAAAAAAAAAAATTACATGCTTTTAAGGAATGCATTATTTGCTATTTGCAAATACTTGAAAGAGAGAACAATATTGCACTGCAACCATGCAGCAAGTGCAGTACTAGTTTGGTTTTAAAATAACACTTGCCATACAAACCTTGCAAATCCACCACATCCTGGTCACAGAGGGCTTGCTTGGCGGACATCTTGCTGGTTCATGTAACCATCTGCAGGAAAATTATAGTGCAATGTTATTTAAGTACACCTTTCTAAAATACTAATAAATTAACATTTTTGCAAAAAAAAATTGGGCATGTATTTTTTTTTTTTTTTCTGCATAGGAGCCTGCAAAGCACAATATCCGCGATCAGTGCCAGGCTCCTACAGGCTCTTCCTCCAGCTGTCTATCCATACCAGTGTACAAGATTTCAGTTGGAGAGCTGGAGGAAGTGTTAATAGCTACAAGCGTAAGGAGAGAATGCAGTGCCAATCTGAGTGTAGCAAACATTGCTTTAGTAAAAACAAGCAATTATTGCACTTACAGGATAGCAAAATAAGAACCGCTCATCAGTGAGAAAACTGCTGGCCACTGTGTGTACCACTGATGCTGGCTGCCGATCGTTGTCAGTCCTGCTGGTGTCAAGATCCCTGCATTAGTACTGGTAGCTTCCAGCACTTCCTAGATCCTCCAGAGACTCCATGGGTGTTAGGCGTGACGTCAGCACGTCAAGAATGTTGGAGGAGGACGTGCTGACATCTCACCCAACACCTGTGTAGCCTCTGAAGAATCTAGGAAGTGCTGGAAGCCACCAGCACCACCAGGGATCTTGACTCCAGTAGGACTGATAGCGATTGGTGGCCAGCAGCAGCGGTACACACAGCAGCCTTCTTCCTGAACAGCGGTTCTTATTCTTTTATCCTGTAAGTGTAATACTTGTTGTCTGTTTTTATTAAACTATGATTGCTACACTCAGATTTGCGCTGTGTCCTCTCCTATGCTTGCTTGCAGAGTCACTTCTCACACTCTTTACAGCGGCTGCCTCTGGGATACAGCATTGGAATATCTATTCAGAGGTGTACCCTTGTCACCCCACCCTATTGTGGACTATAGGCTTATCCTCCCTGAGTGCCAGATCTTATACTGTTGCATGTTGAATGAGTAAGGTGATCACTGCATTTGTATTCTACTGAGAACTATAAGTCCATTTGCGTTTTTGCACTGAAGTCAATTGGAGGCAGGTTTTTTGCACTGAAGGCAATGAGAAGCGTTTTTGTCAATGGGTTGGCTGTGGGGGCCCAGGTGCCAGGACACAGTTACTGGTCACCGTGGCGACACTGTGCCTGGAATTTGTCAAGCCCTGAAATAACGTGTATCGCAATCAAAGTTTTCATGCATAGGTGCTGATGTGTGTGTTTACGTTTGTATGTGCTTGAGTGTAACTTTTCTTTTTTTCATTAATTTTCTTTTTCTTCACATAAGGGAGAAAGTCCCCGATGTGATGATTTTTTAGTGACAAGTTATCTTTAATGAGAAAACCAGGGTCTAAAAGACCCTGGATGTCTCCTCTGTGCTCCACTAAATGTAATGCATTACATTCTTTCCGGCGGCCTCAATGGCCGGGGACACTGACAACGGGGACCCAGAAGTGATATCACAAATGTCTCTTCCGAGTCAGGAACAAGATAGGGAGGAGAATGAATGTGTTCACTCTCCTCCCTCCCCTCTACCCGGCAGCACCCAATATGTTGGTCCCCGGGCCCACAGATGGGCAAGTGGAGCCTGGAATACATAGCAAGGGGGAAGAACGAGTGGGGGGGGGGGGGGATTGGGACAATTTATCAGGGTGTGTGGAAGCATTCGGGCAGCAGTGCAGCCGCCTGAATGCTTCCACCGGACAAGTACGCCCAGGGCTAAATGTTAAAAAAAATGCCCCCAGCGTCAGGCGTTATAACATCCCTGCAGTGAATGGGATGACAAAAGGCCAGGCACCAAGATACAAATACTAGTCGCCATTGCGACCTGGTGCCTGGGATTTGTTGAGACCTGCCTTATGGTGACTTTTGATCTGCACAATCCTCTGCAGCTCTCTTCAGTATGCACTTGGGTTGGACAAAATAAAAATGGATGCACTACAGGATTTGCAGGTGTTTAAGTGTTTTGCGGAGAAAAAAAAGTCAAAGTTGTGTAACACTTTTTTGCTTCCACTGTGTGATGAGACACTTAGCTAACAGGTGGGAAGCCTCATTTTCATCATTCACAGTGTGTGCGCTACTAGTAACACAGTGTCATGTCAGAGCTTACTGAGCTTCAAAGTGGGCACATTGTTGGTGCTCACTTAGCTGGTGCCTCTGTGACTGAAGTTGGCCATTTGTGGTGTCACAAGGTCCAGTATCAAAGGTTATGATGTCATAGTTTACAGGAAAATGATGTCTGAGAAGCATAAGCGCAGCTAACATGGTCAACTGACCAAAAGAGGCAAAAAGGACACTGCGCAGGATTGTGACCTGGAAAAAGAAAACAACTGATACAAAAGTGATTTGCAGAGCTCAATTTCAGTCTTCATTGAACATTTTCCCCTCTATAACTTTTCTGGGGACAAACCAAAATTTGAGATTTGACTTTCAATGATAATGGTAAACGGGACAAATAAAGGAGGCTGAATCTCCCTAATGGGGTCACAAACAGCAATAATACAACTTGACAGGTGTGTTAATCCCTCTGCACTCTGTCCATAACTAAAACATTTGCCTTCCGTTAGACCTTCAGGTCAGTGACAGATAAGGCCAAAATCGGGCTCATTCACAGGAGCACTCAGCATGGTACAGTGTGAAGCGTTGCTCACTTTTTGGTCCTACCACTGATCTGCGTGCAGGCAGCCCACGTATCAGGTGTACACTCACCCACACAGTGGAGTTTGGCATGTACAAGTGCATGGATACCAATGCAGATCCTGTGCATCTGTTAAACCGAGCTGTGCTGGTGTACAACCGATGTATGTCCATTCACTAACACAGGCTGCCTGAACGCAGCTCAGCACCAGGACGGAGAAGTAAACAATCGTCATATGGAGCTAACGTCTGTGTGAATGAGCCCTTACTACGTGGGAAATAAGCAGTGGGAATAAAGAACAGGCAAATGATACAACGCGATCTTCTTTCATTAGTTAACCCCAGCACAGGGCCACCAAAACAACCCTGAGCTCAACATACAGGCACAGACTAGTAGATTCCCATCATGCACGTACCAATTACAAAGGGATACACTGATGAATTAACCTGCCAACCCGGAAACAGACTACTATACATTGTATCATATGTAGTACGGTGCATCCTGTCCTGTCCATATCTTCCACAGTCACGGCCTGTGTGTTTGCCACTCACCAGCTCTCGGGCCCCGCCAACCACCGCCGGGCCCGGATCCCCCCCCTCCTCATCGACCTGTCGGTGGCTTTCGCACTCCGACACCTAGGGGGGGAAAACCTCTTCTCGGTGACACCGATGTAGCCCCCAACAACCCCTGGCAAAGGCAACCAATCAGCAAGCACGTCCTGTCGCGCCTGCCTGCGTCACCGGAGCGCGCCTCGTCCATGCACGGGCTTTGGCGGGAAGGCTTGTCTAAGGCAGGGGGTGGGGGAGAAGGTCCGTTAGCTGAGTGACAGGGATGACATTTTCCTAGTGATGGAGCCATGCTCCAGGCACCTGTACAGTGTCAGTTTATGGATTGAGAAGGTTGATATTATTATTGGAAGTTCTGGTATTTGTAATATATTTGTTTAAAAGAGACGTATGGGATGTTCTTTTTATTATACTCACCTATAGGGGTGCCACCTCAGCCTTTTAAAACCGAACACGTTAATTACACAGGTTCTGGGGCTGATGAAGGTGGTAATGAAACTCAGTGCCCTATCTGCATTTAATTAGCCCCCAAACCTGTGTAACCACTAGCCTACAGGGCACTTATACCCCCTTCCTGCCCAGGCCAATTTCTGGCTTTCAGCGATGTTGCACTTTGACAATTATGTGGTCATGCAAAACTGTACCCATATGACATTTTTATCATTTTTTTGTGACAGAGCTTTATTTTGGTGGTATTTAATCACAGCGGGGTTTTTTTATTTTTTCCTAAACCAAAAACTACTGAAAATTTTGGAAAAAAACCCTTTTTTCTTCGTTTTTGTTACAAAATTTTGTAAATAAGTGATTTTTTTTCTCCTTCACTGATGCGCGCTAATGAGGCTGCAGTGATGGGCACTGATAGACACTGATAGGTGGCACTGATGAGGTACTGGTGGGCATTGAAACGCAGCACTCATATATGGCACTGATAGGTGGCACTGACTGGCACTGATAGGCAGCACTGACTGGCACTGATGCACACTGATAGGTGGCACTGACTGGCACTGATAGGTGGCATTGATTGGCAGCACTGATAGGTGGTATTAATTGGCGGCACTGTTAGGTGGCACTGACTGGCACTGATAGGTGGCATTGATTGGCAGCACTGTTAGGTGGCACTGACTGGCGCTGATAGGTGGCATTGATTGGTAGCACTGATAGGTGGCATTGACAGGTGGCACTGATGGCGAGACTGAAAGCCAGCTCAGATGGGCACTGATATGTTGCATTGATGTGCACTAGTAGGCACTGAAATGTGGCACTGATGGGTACTGGCAGCTGGCACTGATGGACACTGACAGGTGGCACTGCTGGGGCTACACTGATCATCAGTGCACATGTCCCCTCTGAGGAATGCCGATTACCAGCTCTCCTCTCCTCTGTCAGCATGACAGCTTGTGAGGAGAGAAATGTCGATAACCGGCATTTCCCTATTTACATGCGATCAGCTGTGATTGGACACAGCTGATCACATGACCGAGCCGACATCTTTGGCTCTTTCCGCTGAACGGTGATCCGCTGTGTCCGAGGGACAAAGCGCATCGCAGATTGCCGCGCTGCGTGCTCCATTCATGCTCGGTTAGAATGGGAGGACGTCATATGACGTCCTCCCAGAACGAGAGAACCGCCCTGCGCTCGTCATTGTACTATATGGCGGGCGGGAGGCGGTTAATATTTTGGTTTTAACCACTTCATGTCCGGACACTTTCACCCCCTTCCTGTCCAGGACAATTTTCAGCTTTCAGCGCTCTCACATTGTGAATGACAATTACTCAGGCATACGACACTGTATCCAAATTAAATTTTTATA